CTCCGAGCAGACAGCGCTGCCGTAATCAACCTTTACGCTTTACGCCACAAATGCACGAGCGCTGGGCGTGTTGTTTTGGTGAATGGGAGATGGTTAGCGCCACACCCCCTCCTCGCCATTTAAATTGTATTTACACTCCAAGAAGCATCCCGTCGTCACCACTCAGGTGTTTCTTGTTTTTTTGTGTTGCAGCAGGAGAGTGTGAATTGCGTCATGGCGTTGCAGTATGCGGTATGGCCATAAGACGCGGGTTGCCCTCCACTAACATTAAGAACACTGTCTCCCTCTCTCCCTCTAATGAGCAGTCAGCCACACAAATGATCAGCAGGTGAAAATGCTACACTTCAAACATAAAAGTCGTGTGTTCTGGATAACCACATTGATAAAACTACCAATTACAGGCACAACCTACCCATGGATCAGATCCAGCAAGTGCCCAGTGATTCTGGTAGCGACTACATCCATCCACATTTCGGTTTACTTTGGTTCTATTCGCTTGGACAGGCTGCCATCTACCGGGCTGAGGTCATCACGTCAGGGAAAATGTCCACGTGAGTCTCATAGAAGTCCGTGTCCTCTGCCACGTCCTCTTTATCGCCTGTAAAATATGATCTACACATCATCCGTTTGGACTAATCACTAAATGTTGACTGATGCACCTGTCATTCTCAGACGGGACATGGAGCGCAGCGCTCTCACTGGGCGGAGTGGGGAGCCATCTAGTGGACACTTCAGCTAGGTCACATGTCGAGTCAGTTTCTAAACTAACAAAGTACTGGTACCAGTTGTACTGAATGTATTAAACCTACTATATAAAAGTCTTATCATGGCGCCATCCGAGGCGGGCGTGTTTGCGCGTTCCACTCCCAAAAGTCCTTCATACATGGCATTAGATGCCTTTGAATGTTTAAAGGTGTGTCAATAAATGATGTGTCTGGTCAGATGCATTAAAGCCAGATGTTCAGTTCATGGTAGTTTGTTTAACTTCTGTCTAACTTCAAATCATCCATGCAAACTGTCCAAATTCAAGTAAGATCCATCACAATGCACCTCTTTGAGTGTGATGTTACCACAGGGTGCCACATGGTATGGAGCAGGATGATGGTGGATTATCAGCACTACCTTCTGGCCACAGCTCAACTAAGCACTAAAGGCCAGTTTGTTATGCTTTAAATGGGATTTATAGGTCAGCAAAAGGAAGAGTGAGTATCAAGTTAAAGACTAAAGGACTCCGCTGACAGGTCAACTTGAGTGTTCACAGTTTGTCGTCTGTATCTGGCCCAACTGATGCTTGTAAGCAGGATGTTTTCCTATTATTCGGCATCTTCCCACCGTCGTCCGTACTGTGAACAAAGGTTTTCTATCTGCTCCACAGTGGATCTGCCTGGTGAAAAGGTTATGATCCCACAACATTTAAAAAGTCACTGTCCAGTTTAATTTAGCCAAGTCACTAGTGAAGGCCAAAAACATCTGGCTTTGACCAAAGGTCAAATCTGATTGAACAGTGCTTTGTGACCTTTTTTTAATTTCATGACAATAAAGAAAGTCCAATCTGCTGATGAAGATTCTGTCATATGATCAAAGGCTCCAGAAGAGCTAGTACACTGACTTTGTGGTGAGACTGTAACCACTCTATCCAAGGGTAATGCTAAACTTTGAAGCTGAACTTTGAATACTGAAAAAATAAGGCAGCATGTTGCTTATTGTCTGTGATGTGGATTGGAATGGATACATAATGGGCACATCTTTTGTTGAACACTGCTGGGTAGATTGTTGTCACTGACGTGTAACCCAAGGAAAAAGAAGAAGACTGGGTAAATTATCACTTATATAACAGGGCCTTGGCCTTTTGTAAGGTTTCAGTAGCTCCCTCCACCTCAACCAAGTTATTTAACAGGGTGATTCACATCAAAGCTCTCAGTACCCCTGCTGCTAAACTCAAAGGCCATCTCCACACTGATGCTCTAATAACCACCCCTTTATGAAGTCCATAGAGCCCACTCCTCACTGACGATGGTGGGTAAAGCTAATAGCTGGAAAACTAGCACAGACCGCCACCTCACTTGGACTCCTTTGAACTCAACCGTATGCAGATTGAACGTAAAGGGGGGCATGTTTCCTGATCTCTCTCTGTGTATATGTGTGTATTTTTCTGTCCTCATCCTGTCACAGCAGGGAAGAGACATGAAAGACTTTCTACACTGTTTGCTAATTGCAAAGTCCTCCGTCCTGCCTAAAGAGCACAATAGACGACAACCTCATCAGGACACAGTTGATTCCAGATTTATGCTTCCTGTGTGCACCAAAGCTCTCCTGCATGCACACACACACACACACATACAGATGTACACACACCATTTGGGCAGCTGACTAATCAATAGTCTCAGCTCTTCTCTTTTCTTTTTTGGGTCTAATCGTTTCATCTAAATGAAAATATATAAAGAAATAAATTGGGACTTAGGTCGGTCAATGTGTTAGGTTATGCTAAAAAAGGGTAGAGGGGGAGAGTTGCCACCTTTTCATGTTATCTCTCCTCTGTTCAGCTTTATAATGAATATCACCACTGATAACAAAGCCTCATTTGCATATCATAATCCCCATCTCTTGACCTTCTGATTGGGTGTGCTGAAAAATGCCGGGCTCTTTTAAAAAGAGAAGAAGATAGAGAGCAAGAGAGGAAAAAACTGCTCTCTTTGAAAGCTGTTTGAAGTTCTCTGCCAGAGTTCAAATAACACTAAAACATGTGCATGTCACTGAGTGGCTGATTTGTACTAAAAAGAAGAAAGGTGGAGGGATGAAAGGAGGTCATGGAGGGGAGAGTGAGGGAGCTTTCTAGTGCTAGTAAAACCAGAATCCTTTGGATCTAATGTCACTACGCATACAGAGGAGGGGGCCTTTTGTACTTGCTATTTGAATGTGCTCTGACCCCAATAAAATGACATTTTTTCCCACACATTTTGTTTTGTTTTTTTTATCGTGGACTGGTGCCTTTATCTTCTGGTTTTTGGCTAATACCGAAGAATTTTTAATATTACCCTGATTTTCATAATGATGAAAGCAACTGTTTTCCTTTTTGGCCTATTCACACAAAGACAAGTGAGTAAAGCTGCTCTGCCAAGCTTCTAAAGAGCTGCTGCTGGGTGATGGCAGAACAAGTGAAAGAGGCGTGGAATGGCGGCAGTTCATTCTGCAGAGGTCAAGGTGTGTGTCTATGTGCGAGGGAGGGTTATTAGCGACTCTGCATGGCATAGCAACAGATCCAAAGGTCACGGACCACCCCAACTGTGTGTTCACACACTTCATCTAGCACTAATCAACAGTGGCTGGACTGTTCATGCAGGCCACAAGGTTTGGATGGTTACCAATACACTATGTCTCGGCCCTCTCTCTGTCAGATTCTCCTTCTTGGCTTGGACGCACTGTTCTCAGCAGCCCATGGTTTTTGAATCCCACTTGTGAAGACCAGACGTCCTTTCCCATGTGTGAAGAGGGCCTCCAGCAGAGTTGCTTCAGCTCCTTCACATTCTCATAGTCCTCAGTTTTGGCCAGAGCTGTAAAGCTGGGCCCTGGGAGTCGCTCGCCTCCACTCTGATCCACCCAACCCAGCTCTGCACAGAGGCTGGGCTGCCAGCTCCCTTATCCCAGCTACTGCACACCCAGGGTGGGCAAAGGCAGAATGACAGTCCCCCGCTGCCTCCAGAGCCACCATCTCATTTCCCCCTGTAGCTGCCCACCGCCCCTCTTAGCTTTTCAATCTTCGATGCAATTAGAAGGAGATCCTTTTCTTTTGTCATCTATACGTGGACAGAAGAAAAGTGAGAGAATGAGGAAAAAAGATGAAGGAGGGCTGATTTGGTTCTGGTGGAGCTCGGGCCTAGCCAGGAGCCACTTGTGAAGCGCTGGGTATTAGGACTCACATGGTTTGTTTGGAAAGGCTTCTCCAGGGGCCAAAGTGGGATTACGTTGCAGATTGTAAGTTCCCATGGAAGAGGCCTGTACCAGCGAGGGCTTTGGTGGGTGGGTTTCAGGTTGGGGGCCATAGAAGAGGTCTTTATGAGTTTGGGGTTTGTCTGAATGGAAAGGGCCAACTCCCAGCATGCTAGCCCTCCATATTAGATGGACACAGAGAGGCTATTGAAGTTACCCAGACATCCCCCTTTTATTTCTTTCCTTTTCTCTCCCTCTCTCTCTCTACTCCTGAAGGCTAAGCTGTTTGCCAGTCAAGAAAAGAGTAAAGGGCTGTTGTGGGAGCTGAAATGATTCTTGTGTGTATTTTATGATGAAAATACCATCTGCGATTCTGAGTAAATATGATATGATATGACTCTTACATCTGAGTGAAGACTACCAATAAAAACTGGATGCAATGAACATCTGTTCCAAACTATAAATACACATCAGAAAAATACTAGACAGCATTGACCCCTCAGTAACTTTAACAATGCTGGTTTTGCAAACAAATGTTTAAAATGGACAACAGTGTTAAGAGTACTACCACCTCTGAGGGCTTTACTGAAAAAAATACACACTACTTAGATCTTGGATATGAAAGACATTTCATTTAGATGTTTTAAATTAGTAAATAACTTTAAAATGTGGCATATTAAGCGCAGAAACAGCAGAGACTATTACTGCTACTCAACTCAACATATAACTGTTTTTGTGAACTGACAAGGATGCATAGCAGACTGTACATCCTTCAAAATCATACAAAGATAATTACTTTGCTTACATTTCTCTACCCTCTAGTGTTTAGTTTTTGGTACTGCAACATGCTGCTTTAGCATATGCAGCAACATGAGTACCTTTTAAAGCAACATTTTCACACATCACATTGGATTTAAAAGATTTTGAGATGTTGAAAGTGCAGAAGAATCGATTAAATAATGGCTGAAGAAAAAATCATAACTGAAAGGTCAAAACATGCTATGGTGATGTTCTCATACAACAAAATACATTGCTCATGATCTATGCTA